AGATTGAAATTGTCAGGGATTTTATTTTACTTGGAACCACAATCAACACCCATGGAAGCAGCAATCAAGAAATCAGACATCATATTGCACTGGGCAAATCTGCTGCAAAAGACCTCTTTAAAGTGTTGAGGAGTGAAGATGTTGCTTTGAAGACTAAGGCGCCTAACCCAAGTGATGGTATTTTCAGTCACCTCATAAGCACGTGAAAGCTGGACAATGAATAAGGAAGACCAAAGAAGAGTTGTGGCTTTTGAATTGTGGTGTTGGCCAAGAATACTGAAAACATCATGGACTGCCAGAAGAACAAACAAATTTGTCCTGGAAGAAGTGCAGGCAGAATGCTCCTTGGAAATGAGAATGGCCAGACTTCGTCTCACCTGTTTTGGTCATGTTATCAGAAGAGACCATTCCCTGGAGAAGGATGTCATGATTGGTAAGGTGGAGGGTCGACGAAAGAGGGGAAGGCCCTCAACGAGATGGATTGACACAGTGCCTGCAACGATGGGCTCAAGTATAGCAAGGATCATCCTGGCACAGGATCGGGTGGTGGTTTGTTCTGTTGTGCATAGGGTCACTGTGAGTCAGGCACTACTCGGTGGCACTAACAACAACATTCTTTGTCACATACTCTTTTGCATCATTTCACTATATTATCTTAAAAAACTACAGAGTTCAAAATGATGTGTTTAATTCTTTTCATATGATGTTAGAGAAATTTTAAAGGAAAAATACTTTTCTAGACATAGTATATTTCTCCCTGTTTTGTTTCAGTTTTTTCTATATGTACATTTTCCCATAATGTTCATATGTATATATTTTGTGCATTACCATTTTACTTAGTTTGAAAATATTTTTGCATGTTGATGAACAGTCTTTATCACTTTCAAGTTAATTTATCTTGAATTCTCTTAGCTATTTCTGTCTTCAGTTAGTTTTTTGAATAATACAGTTATGAAAGGGAGCTTTGGTAGCATAGTGCCTGAGGCATTTGACTGCTAACCAGAAGGCCGGCAGTTCAAAGCTACCAGCCACTCCTCGGAAGGAAGACTGGGCAATCTACTTCTGTAGAGATACCGCCTTGGAAACCCATGGAGAGGTCGCTATGAGTAGGAATCGACTTGATGGCAGATTTTCTTTTTATAGTTATGAAAATTACTGAACAGTCAGCTTTTTCTTATGTATTATTTTATTGTAGTAAATTCATTTGTATGCAGTTATTCAATCAAAAGGTGTGAACATCTTCTATGGCTCTTGATCTGTATTGTCAAATTGTCTTCTTGAAGGATTTGAACATGAGTATAATTTATGAAGTATACTGTGCTAGACTCCAAGGTACCTAAAGTTTTTTTTTTTTTTTTTTAAAGAAGTTCATGCACATTTTGTTTTGTGACATTGATTTCAATCCCACAATGTAACAGCTCTCTTTCCACTTTGTTCTTGTGGTTACCTTTTCCCTGTGTCCTTCATTCCTATGTATTCTTGCCTTCTGAGCTATCTCCCTGTGCAGATACTTCCATTGTGATCTCCCATGGTTGATTATTCTAAGGAGCATACCTACCTGGTGTAATTGTTCACCTTGCATGCCTGTTTATTGTGTAGCTGAAAGTTAAGCCACCAGAGTGAGTTCAATTCCAGCACCAAAGGATTACAAGGAGCCATAAGTCCCAGGGGTTTTACCAATCTCTGTTAGCCAGTAAGCCTGGACTTTTTTTTTTATGATTTTGAGTTTTTTTCCACATTTTTTTCCCACTCTATCTACGATCTCCTATTTTGATCCCTTTCCAAGTGGTTTGCAGTGGTAGCCAGGCACTATCTAGTTCTTCTGGTCCCAGGATCATGTAGGCTGAGGTTCCTATGGTCCACTAGTCCCTTGGACTAATTGTTTCCATGTGTCTTTGATTTTCTCCACTCTTCTTTTTTTTTTTTAGAGTTCTGCTAAGTCTTTTTAAAAAAATTTTTTTATTTTAAGAGCTTGTTTTACATTCAAAGTCACACGTGCATTTAGTTTCATTCCCCATTTGCCATGTCCAACCCTAACCCAGTCTCCTTCTCTCCCTACCCTGCAACCCTCCCCCTGTGTCCCTCATAATTGTGCACTCCTGTTTGTCCTGCATTTCCTTAGTTTGAATGTTGGTCCTTTGGTGTCCCATGTCTATTGCTTTAAGGGATGTATTACTGTTGGGTGTGTGGGTGCGGCATCCTGGGTTGAGTGGTCTGCATGTACATCTTGTTACCTATTGGGCTGAGAGACCGCCCCTGGGGGTGAGTTTTATTCCAGGCGTCAAATGTATTTCAGGGCCATAGTATTGGGATTCTCACCAGACTTCATCTGACCAGTAATTCTGGTCATTATTGAGTTTTTGGATTTTGTTCCACGTTTTCCCTCCCACTCTATTCAGGATCTCTAGATTTGATCCTTTCCTGAGTGGTTGGCATTGGTAGCTGGGTACCATCCAGTTCTTCTGGTCTCGAGGGCCATTGTATCCTAGAGCTGATTGCTTCTAAATGTCCTTTTTTGTATGTGTGTGTGTCTGTGTGTGTGTTCTTCTTTATTTCTGATGCTAGGAGACCATTAGCTGTATCCTAGATGGTTGCTTGAAAGCTTTTAAGACCCCAGTCACTACTCACCAATGTAGGATGTGGAGCAATGCTATTATGTATTTTGTTGTGCCGATTGAGTCTGGTGTACCCCAGTACTATGGTCCTGATGTAGTAGCTTTATTGAATCTCTCTCCCATAGTGTTGGGATGTCTGTGAGAGATTACTCTGTGTCTGTCTTCTATTGTTTCTGTAAAGACTGCAGGTATTTTGTATCACTGGTGTCTGTACAAGATAAGCCTCAGGTGAGTCTATCCTTGGTCTAGAGTATACCTCTATTCATTCTTCTTTAATCCAGACAAGGAGAGACCAGTTGTTGCATCTTAGTTGACCACTCGAAAGCTTTTAAGACTGCAGTTGCTACTAACCAAAGGATGTAGGATATGGAACAATATTTCTGTATATTATGTTGTGCCAGTTGAGTGTGATGTTCCCCTTGACCATGGTCCTGAGACTGTAGGCATAGTGACTCACTCCCTCAAGGTGTTTGGTTGTGGCTAAGTTAGCATAACTTTGCCCCTTTTTGCCTGGTTATATATATGGACATTTTATAGTGCATACAAATACATCTGTAGAAATATGGTTTCCCAAACCTATAGATGGTCAAGGATATATTCCCTTTCACCTACCTGTACCTGTTCATCTTGACTATCTACCTATCTGTCCACCGATAGATTAATGTTTGTTATTACTGATAATGCAGTATTGTGTATGTAATAGTATTGGCCTTTGTTGTCTGTACTTCTTGTGTACCTTTCCATGTCTTCCTTTTCTTTAGTGTTATTGTGCTTTTGGTATTTTGCCTTTCTCTTCACCCAGATCAATATGTGTCTCTTATCTGGCTAGCATTTAAGGTTGTTATTGTTATGTGCTGTCAAGTTGGATCTGACTCATAGCAACCCCTTCTTAGGTTTCCAAGGCATTATCTCTATGGAAATTGATTGCCCAATCTTCCTTCTGAGAAGTGGCCTTCTGAATGGTTAGCAGTAAGATGCCTTAGGGACTATGCCACTTGAAAATAAAATGATGTCTTCATTCTACATCCACATTCCCCCATCTTAGTGATGGTCTACTGTCCACTTGCCTATTTGCCCCAGTCAGAAATCCATGAATTAAATCCTTAATTCCTTCTTTTTCCTTATTGACCATGTGCAGCAAATGACAAATCTTACCAATTTTACCTTCCAGATATCTCCAGAACATACTACTTCTTTCTATCCCCACTATTCTAGTTCTAGTCACTGTTATTTATTACATGGATTACATGTAATAAATTACATTACAACACTCTCTCTCATGTCCTTGCCATACAGAATCCAAATGATCTTTCAAAAGTACATTCTCTCTTTTGCCTTTAGCCTTTTCTAAATGTTATTTATTCTTTCATCCTGGTACACCTTTCTTTTTACCTTCTCTCTTCTATACCAGAGCCCTGCCTCAGCATACACACACACACACACACACACACAAGTATACACACACTATACATTTACCTAGTTCATTCCTACTCATCCATCAGGCCTCAGATTACTTACCACTAGTTTGATGTAACTACTTATTTACTAATCTTTATTTCCCACCAAACTCTAAACTCCTTGGGACTGGGATTATGTCCTGTTGTAGTAGCCCTATTAGTTTTGTTGTTGTGTGCCCTCATGTCAATTCTAATTCATGGTGACCCTATAGGACAGAGTAGAACTTCCCAGTAGCATTTTCTAAACTGTAATCTTTATGGAAACAGATCATCTGGTCTTTTCTCCCTTGGAGCAGCTGGTGGGTCTGAATCCTGACCTTTTGGTCAATAGCCAAGCACTTAACCATCAAGGCTCCTTGCAGTAATCCTTGTGCCTGCCAAAATTCCTGGTGCTTACTGAGTGAATATTTTGCTATCTTTTAATGTTGTATCTGCCCAATGCCATAACTAAAAGTTGAAAAAGTGAAAATCATTTAAATTAGTTAGTTGTGTGTAGACAAAAATCTATGACAGGTCATATTTCAGAATGAAAATAAAAAATGTGACTCATTCATTTTTATTTTGCACAGATATACACAACAAACATTCACCAATTCAGTAGTTTCTACACACAAAATTCAGTGACATTGATTGCACTCTTTATGTTGTACAACTTTTATCTCTTTCTTTTTCCTAATTCCACCACCATTAAAGTTAATTCAGTAGCCCACCCCCACCCCCCAAGAAAAAACTCCCCCTTTCTCCCTTCTTCTCAACACTGGTGAATAATTCATTTTTTCACTTGTAAGAATAACGTGACTGCTCTGCTATAGAATTCAAGTTGAAAATCTCACTTGTAGTATGTTCTTGACTTGTAGCTTTTTTCTCCATGAACTGCTACTATAATGAGCCTTTTGATAGTCTTTTTTGTTGTTATGTTTGTACCAAGTCCCAAATTAGGAGAAAATAAGCAGGAGGAAATTCCAGAGGAGTCAGTAAAGGGGGGCACTATTCCAACAGAAGGGCAGAAGGAGGAGTATTCACAACTGAATCAAGATATGAAAGATGAAGGACAGCAGCAGGTCACCATAAAGCCTGAGGAAGTTGTGAACCTTAGACAGGAGCTGAGCCATATAGATGAGAGCCTCCTCCAGTCTCAGACCTCTGGGGATAATTCAGATGACAGTAGTATCAAGGTAGGTGCCATAAACATTAGCTCTGCCTGGGTCCATTTCATGTAATCAGCTGTGGATATAAGTATACTTTTTATATTATCATTAATTACATTTGTTGAATACAGTAAGCATGGCTTGGAGAGTAACAAAATGGGAACTAAAACCTGAACTAAGCCCATAAGCTGACATACTTTATGATAAAGTGTTCTTAGGCTCCATCTAGGCTCAGCAGGGGAAAATGTTATGATTGTCAGTGTTCACCATGGGTGGGTGGAATAGGAAACACAGCATGTGTGCCAATTGTCTATTCCTGGTATGTAGTTTACATGTACAAAACACTTTGTTTTAGTGGGAGAAAGATCTCAGGCTTTAAATGGTTTTAAGTATAGCTATTGATTTTGGTAGAGATCTACCTGCAGAAGAAATGAAGGGATAAGGTCTTCTACATCAGTTCATTCATATACTACCTGAGATCTCCCTACACACTCCATTCTAGAAGTTATTTTGAGATCGACAGAGAAGGGAGGCCTTTATACTATTAAGTAAATACTTCAAAAGGCTGATAATATATGTTTCAAAAGTGATACACTTTATTTAGAAAATAAATTTTAAAATGTTTATGTATTTATTTTTTTTAGAAAAATAAAAAAAGAAGAGTAACAGTAAAAAGAGTCCAATAGATTTGAGAAGAGATTCAGATACATAGTTTGAAAATTAGACAAGTCACAGTAGACAAGGAAAATAAACATCTGGCATAAAGGAGAGTCAGATAACATTTGAAAGAAAGGAGAGTCACTTGATATGTTCAGAAAACAATAAGGAATAAGAGGTTAAAAAAAAAAAAAAAACACTGCCATCAAGTCAGTTCCAACTCATAGAGACTCCTGTTGGGTTTCCAAGGTGATAAATCTTTTTGGAAGTAAATTGCCCCATCTTCATTCTTTGGAGTAGCTCATGGGTTTCATCTTCCAGCCTTCTGGTTAGAAGTCAAATACCTTATGCTCTATGCCATCAGAGCTCCTTAAATATCCAAAAAGAGGTTATTATGAACATCTCCTAGACAGTGCCTTTACTGGACATTGGACTCATTTAGAGAGGATAAGCAGAAGCTGAATACTGTAGTCACCAAGATTATAAAAATCTTTGCTTAGGAACTTAAAATAGTCATTGTACTTTTAGAGTATGAAGTGTAAGAAGTAACACCCTGGCTAATTTATTAATTTTCATTAACTTACCCTTTCCTATTATTTTAAAAATCATTTTGCAACACCCAGGAAAAGGTGGAAAACTATTAAATAAAGAAGCATTCAAGTAGTTCGGGTGTAAGAGCCATTTTGTGGTGGGGCAAATGGTCCTATGGGCCATAGAGCCTCTTAGAGTTCTGGAGTTTGACATTTCAACTGCTGCCATCACTTACTGAGAAATTCAAAGGAAGCAGCTACATCCCTCACATCAAGCTGATTTCCTGAGGAATGCTGGAAGATTGACTCTCAAAAGCCCTCCCAGAATTATCATGGAATATCCTGGTGAATTTACTCATATTTTGGCCCTCAGGTTAGCAAGCTCAAAACTTGAGGTATTAGCCCACCTAAAATAAACCTGTGTCTCAGAGATAGAACCACATTATCCAAACTTACGAGACTATTGAGTAAAACCAGAAGGCCAGTTAGTTATTCTTCTGTACAAATGTCACAGGGAAATGTTTATATGAATAGTATACTTTCTTCCTCCAGAGAGCTCAGAAGGACATATCAAAATCTGAAGTATGTTTGATGAGTATGGAGTCAGAACCAGTGGACTTGGTTTGATGCTTCACATGTGTAACAGCACCAGATTCAGATTTTAATAACCCATTACATCCACATCCATGATTAAAACCAGTAGTCTTTAACTCTGTTTCCACAATAGGAGCAATATTGCCACTGGCACCAGTATGTGAAGTTACTTTATATGTAAGGATTACTATTATAATTTCCATAAGGAGCTCTGGTGGTTTGTGGGTAGGGTATTTGGCTGCTAACCAGAAGGTTGGTGGTTTAGACCTACCAGCTACTCCACAGGAGGAAGATAAGGCAATCTACTATAAAGATTTATAGCCTTGAAAACCCAATAGGGTCACCACGAGTCAGAATCAACTCGATGGCAGTTTTGGGTTTATTACAAATTCCTAATATAGAAGAGGTCTTAGGCATCATCTGATCTTATGCCTTTAATTTGCAGTTGTGTAAACTGAGACTTGTACTCAAAAACCAAACCAAACCAAACCAAACCAAAACAAAACAAATTCACTGCCATCGAGTCAGTTCTGATTCACAGTGACCCCCATTGGGTTTCCAAGGCTGTAAATCTTTAAAGAAGCAGATTGCCCCCATCTTTCTTCTGTGGAGCAGCTGGTGGGTTCAAACCACTGGCTTGTTGGTTAGTAGCCAAATGCCTTAACCACTACACCACCAGAGTTCCTTAAACTGAGAGGAATCAGAGAGGATAGATTACTTAATAAGTTGTTGAGTAATCACAAAAGAAAAAAATCACTTATTTTATGCTCTTAGATGGTTCCTAGTAGCCTGAATGAGTTTTCATGCCTCTGGAACAATATTCTGCCAGGGGGAGTAATTTACATGATTGGGGGAAAATACTCTTATCTTGGCCCCTAGACTGGCTGGCTGGTAGTTTCTATGATGGTTGTCTTTTGTGAGAAATAATTTACAATTCTACTTTGGCAAAGGAGTTTTGGTAGCATAGTGCCTGAAGCACTTGACTTGCTAACCAGAAGGCTGGAGGTTCAAACCCACCAGCCACTCCTCGGAAAGAAGATGGGACAATTTACTTCCGTAGTGATACTGCCTTGGAAACCCAAGGAGGGGTCGCTATGAGTCAGGTCTGACTTGACGGTACATAACAACAACAACAACAACAACAACTTTGGCAAAGTGACTTGGCTGAAAACGTAGACAGGAAGAATTACCATTCTGGCTTTTTCCTTCTTCAAAACAGGCTAAAATATGAGTTCGGTTTGGTTTTATTTTCCTATTGGTACAAATGAGATGCTTCTTCTGTATGTCTCCGCTTTGGTATGTTAAATGGCTATATAGGAGACTGATTAATATTTAATTGTTAAACACTGCTGTATAAGATTAAATAAATTGAAAGGTTTACATATGGAAGGAAACTTTGTTTGTTACCAGGGGTAGGAGGGGAGGGGAGGGAACAACAACAACAACAACAAAATGCATTGATCCATGTCACTTTAGTTTTGTGTATTTCACTGTACATAAATTATATTTTAATAAAATGTATTTTTTTAAAAAAAGATTAAATAAATTGGAGTGGCAGATTAAGGAATTCTAGGCTTCAGGAGAACTTTTGTTTTCAGATAGAAGAAGAAAGCCACTGAAATAAAGTTAGGCAGCATAAACATTCCTAGGTAGTGTTATTGAGTGAGTATTATGCACCAGGCATTGTGCTAAGTGTTTGCACGTGTTATCTTACCTACCCTTCTCTTCATCCAGCAGTTATCATTATTATTCCTATTTTGAGATGAGGAAACTAAAATGTAAAGAGACTAAATAACCTTTTCAAGATCACCCAACTAGTAAGTGGTAGTGTCAGGATTGGAACCCAGATGTATTCCAAAGCTAGGACTCTTAATAATTACATTATAATTCCATTAAAGTATTTTCTCTAGGGATCTTAGAGATTTGTAGCTCTAAGCCAAGCAACTTGGATTTAAATTTGCCTTCTGACTGAACCAGGATAGGAATTGAAGAGCTGACAAAACTTGGAGAGTTCTCTGTTGCTTCAGGGTCAGAAACAAGATAGAACTAGAATAATTATATAGGCTTCTAAGAAAGTCATGGACAGGAAGCTGGACCAGGACAAAGGAAACTCTAAGATTATCTTACCTGTTTAATTGGAAAGGATTGGATTGTTTATCTACTTAACATACCTTGTGTGCCTACCTTTTTTTTTTTTTTTTTTTTTTTTAAAAACCAAAAACTTTTTCCCGGTGATTACTTTGCTTGTATTTGTCCGTTTCAAACCATAGAATCTTTCAGTATGGCAACTCAAGGCTTAATTTTTTTTTTTTTTTTTTTTTAGAAAATCCAAATTACTACTCCTTTCGGTGAAAGTAGTTGTTGAGTAGTAACTGGAGAAGCATCCTCAGGTAGTAAAAGGAGAGTGATGAAGAAAGCTAGGAACTTAAGTTCTCTGGATGAATTTTCTTCACTTTTGCTAGCTCACATACAAACATACACAATTAATAGGAACTCTACTTCTTTACATACTGACTTTTTTGTTATTGTTGTTAATTTTTGTTGTGATTTGGGTGAAAGTTTACAGAACTAATTCATTTTCCATACAGTAGTTCATACACATTTTGTTTCATGACATTGACTGCAATTCTCCACAACGTAACAGTTCTCCTCCCACTTTATATAGTGACTCTTTGAACTCCCATTTCAAGCATATTTTACTCTAAAACTGTCCATGCCTTTAGTCTCCTTCATGAATGTGAAGAATTTTTAAAAGATGATTGTGATGATTAACTGTTTTTGTTCACATAATTTTCCTCAAATTTTCACCCTAAAATAAAAGGAATTAAATTATATGAACATGTATCAACTAGCCATAAACATTGAAGTATGATTTGTACAAGTGAACTAAAACAAATGGAAAATTTACGTGTGAATAATCACATTCTGACAATTTTGGTTTTGACAGTTTGAGCCCATGTTTTGCTAATATTCTTTCAAATTGTCCATGTTTCTCTTTCAAAATCTGTTTGCTTTAGTATTCATCATCTGGAGAAAAACTAAAATGCCAGCAGCAAGAGGAACTACAACAGCTTCACCAGAATTTTCACCGGCTCCAGAATCTGTGCAACTCAGCTGAAAAGGAACTTCGATATGAACGAGGAAAGAATTTGGACTTAAAGCAACATAATAGCTTACTTCAGGAAGAAAGCATTAAGGTAATTCTAGCGGGCACATTCTTTATTGAAGGGTCTGTGATGTGGTAGTGGTAGTGTCAGACCTTGTCTAACTAACTTCAGGGAGAATACAGATCCCCATCAGGATCAGCCCAAAGCTGATTGCTGTGAGGTGGAGATCAGACATACCTCCACTCTTCAACCTTTTTACTAATTCTGACACCTCCCGACAGCACTCTCTAGTTCTCTGCTGGGTTTGATTTGTTGCAATGGCCACATAGAACTCACAGACCACACTCACAGTTACATGATTTATTAGGGAAGTTAACACGGGATCAGGATTAACTTGGAAGTAACTGGAGCAGGATCAATGTCAGGAAGCATACAAGCAAGGTTTGGAAGCCTCCCTGAAAAGGAAGAGCACATCCCTCCCTTCTCTACTGTACACAGCTTGTGCTCTCTCTCTCTCTCTTTCTCCCCTTCGTGCCCCTTCAGGACAGGCCTGCTCTCAGTCATGCACACCCACTCTTGACTATGCATGTCCCGTTCAAGACAAGCCTCCTCTCAGCCCCCTAAGGACAGGCCTCCATTAGGCCTCTGCCCCACTTGGACAAGTATTACAGCTCTTTTAGCTCTACCAACAAGTGCCTAGAGGCACCCTACTTTGCCCAGCAATCTTCCTGCCCAGAGGCACTCAACTCTGTCTTGCTCTGTGAGTCAATAAGACAACTATAGCTGCTTCGATCCATAGGCCAAGGAGCCCACCATCTCACATCAGTCTCCTGATTATGCTGCTGCTGTTTCTCATAATCTTGCCCTTGTCTCCAGTGTTACAACTTTCTCTGTCTTCTGAGTATAGGAAGTTCTCAGTGCAGGGACCCTGGCTCCAAAGGATGCACTGTGCTTCAGGTTCTTCTTGATGATAATGAAGTTCCTCCCGCAACCTCTGTAAGACGGCTGCTTATATAAGCAAGTGGCTCAATCCAGTTGGACAGATTTACACACCCTATTTGCATAGTAGACATCAATCCCTTCAATGGACCAATTATTTTCTAATGGCTCCAACTATTTGTGTAGTAACTGGCATTTTCTGCCAGCAGGGACTGGCTGCATCCATGGGAAAAAGTAACAAACCTCTACAAAGGACTAGGGCAACGGCAACAAATCCTCAGAGCCCAGGGAAAATCTCCCAAGCTGTTTTCTTTTTCTTTATTTTTTTTTACAGAACCAAGGCAAAAGGGCACATAAACAAAAACTCATTTCACCAGAGGATCTCAGTTGGCCCTGGAGATAAATGAATAAAAAATTCCTCCACTTTGTATTTTGTGATAGAGTTGGTAGATGGGTGTTACTAACATACTGAGCTATCTGTTAACTTTCTTCTTTAACTTTTCTCCATTAAATAGATACCAAGTTTAGTTGTTTCTCTGCTGTTGAATGAGGGTATGTGCTGTCAAACTGTAAATATAAAAAGTTTTCAAATTACGTAGTCTTTTGAAATTATTAGGTAAAATTTTTAGCACTTACTAAATTTCCATGACTTGAGCCAAAGCCCTGGTTGACCTGCCCTCATTTCATCTGTAGGATTTATTTATCCCTAATACATATATCTATTATTATTAGTTGCATCAAATATCAACTGCATTAAGGTACTATTCATGGAAGGATCAGTTGTTTGTAACATGAGAGGATCAGAAAATTAGAAGGACATTACCCAAACATGCATGTTTTAAATAATCTTTGTAAAATTGCCACCCACAGATTCATCTTAACTTTGTGAATCATGTAAGTGTTCAAACTGAACTACCATGTGAAATAGTATTTCCCTGAAATTTTAGTTCAAATCTGTAACTATGAATTAGGGATCTGGCTTCTCTAAACCCCTATCTAACCAATTAAAAAAGCTGTTGCCATCAAATTGACTCCATCTCGTTATGACTCTATGTGTTTCAGGACAGAACTACATTCTGTAGGGTTTTGGATTTTCAGAAGTAGATCACCAGGACTATCTTCCAAGGCACTTCTGTTTGGGTTCAAATACTAAACTGTTTTGGTTAGTAGCCAAGTGCTTAACCATTTAAAATTATGGAATTGGACATTCAACAAATATTTACTGAGCATCAATCATATGCCAGACAAGCAGTCTTGGTAGGTAAAATAGACACAGTCTTTACCCCCAGAGAGTTTATAGTCTAGTGCATGGGGTGGCAAACTTTGGTCCATGGGTTAAATTCTGTCTTTTCCTGATTTTGCTAACAGAGTTTCATTTGTGGCACATCAAACAAAAACCATACTCACTGTTGTCAAGTCAATTCTGACTCATAGCAACCCCTCCTTGGGTTTCCAAGGCAGTATTTCTACAGAAGTAGATTGCCCAGTCTTCCTTCCAAGGAGTGGCTGGTGAGTTTGAACTGGAGCCTTCTGGTTAGCAGTCAAATTCCTTAGGCACTATGCCACCAGAGCTCCCAGGGGAGACATAGAAGAAAACAAATGATCATTTTTCTTCAAGCGAAGTCCTTCTAGGGAGCTCTGGTATCCCAGGATTATTCAGATAAACCTCTTCCTTTTCCTCACTTTTCATTATTTTTTGAATATTAATCAAATTCCCTCAATGCTTTGTAGTTTTTAATTAAATCTTAAATCTTTATCATAATTTCTCATAAAGCAGCCTTTCATTTTCCCCTTCAAACTGTTCAACTGTGAATGTCCTCTGGTCATACCACATGGTTCTTAAGGTGCTGTGACCAGAACTATACACATCATGATGCCTTCCTTACACGATTATTGTTGTTAGGTGCCGTCAAGTAGATTACGACTCATAGCAACCCTACTTAAAACAGAACGAAACACTACCAGATCCTACACCTTCCTCAGAGTCATGTCTGTGTTTGAGCCCATTGTTGCAGCCACTGTGTCAATCCATCTCATTGAGGGTCTTCCTCAACACATAATTGTTGTTGTGTTGTTGTTATTTGCCATTGAGTTGGCCCCGACTCACAGCGACCCCTCCTTGGGTTTCCGAGGCAGTATCACTACAGAAGTAGGATTGCCCAACCTTCCTTCTGAGGAGTGGCTGGTGGGTTTGAACCGCCAGCCTTCTGGTTAGCAGTCAAGTGCCTTAGGCACTATGCTACCAGAGCTCCTCAACACATAATTAGTGCCCTAGAAATATTTGTTGAATTAATTAACAGAGTCTTTCAAGGATGCGAAACCATGGCTTGGTAAAAGAAGAAGATGATTTTTGTTCTATTTTAAATCTGCTTCATGGTGGGATAAATTATTGGCTATTTTGGTAATGAGACATCAGCCTCTTGTCTGGCCCCTTAGGTCAGGCACCTTAGAGGGATCATGTACAATAGCTACCTTTTACTGACAGTTTGTCCACTTGATCTCCTACAAACCTCCCTACAACCCTGGGGTCAGCATTTTATAGATAAAGAAGCTGTTCAAGGTTGCAAAGCTAACAAATTGTCGAGTCAGAATTAAAACCCAGGTCTGTTTCTATCTTTCTTGTATAGAGCTGTCTTCCATGTTACACCTCTCCTCAATTTGAGGTTATTTTTTAACCTCAGCTTTGCACACTTGGGGCTCACTTTTTAAAATCCACTCAGAGGTGGTCTAGTTTTGGGTCTCTGACTAATGTTCCACATGCTTTTGAGACTTATGCTAGGAAACTGATACTAATTTATTACTTTTTAGCCACTTTATTGTGAAACATACCTTTCAGAAATTATTTAAAACATAATATTTGGTGTGAAGAATTGTTGTAAAGTAACTATCTATATAACCACCACCCAAAACAAGAAATAACACATTACCAGCATGACAATAGCTTCCTTCATGCCTCTTTCCTATCATAACCTCAAATCCTTTCTACCTTAGCAGTAGCCACTAATTTTACAATACCTTTCTTTACTTTGTAGTTTTACTACCTATAAATAAATGAGGGAGCTCTGGAAGCATAGTGCCTAAGGCATTTGACTGCTAACCAGAAGGCTAACGGTTCAAACCCACCAGCCACTCCTCGGAAGGAAGGTTGGGCAATCCTGTTTCCGTAGTGATACTGCCTCGGAAACCCAAGGAGGGGTCACTATGAGTCGGGGCCGACTCGACGGCATATAACAACAACAACAACAATGATTTATGAACATTTGGCCTGTTTCTGGCTTGAGTTTATTAAAAAGAATGATATGGGCTTGCAGCTCTGTAACCACCAACATTGAGACATGATACTGGATCTCTTCTTGGTGCTCAGATGTCGCAACCTAAAGCCAAAGAAGTGATCCTGGGTTCACATGCTGTCAGCCATGAAGGTGTTTACTCTAGTGATGGTGTCTTGTTTCCATCATTACTAGAGGAGTAATACATGATATTACTGTCAAAATGCTCAGTGTTGGCTCTATAACTGATGGGGGAAAAAAAGCCTTTAGTTTTTTGGCCTATGGAGTAAATGGACAATATAATATGAAAGAACATGTACCCAGTATTCTGTTACAGTGAGAAGTTTAGGTTTCATAAACCTAAACCAATTTAATGCCTCAAATATTCCAACAACCAATAGATTTTTTTCTTCTTCTGTCCATTGGAGTTGTCTGTGTCATACTGAATTTTTTTATGACTGGATTATTCTTGAAAAATGAAATTTCTAGGCTTTCTGATAGGTTTAGAGTGCTAACCAGAAGGCTAGCTATTCAAGCCCACTAGCCATTCCTCAGAAGGAAGACTGGGCAATTTACTTCCATAAAGATACCACCTGGGAAACCCAAGGAGGGGTCGCTATGAGTAGGAATCTAATCAATGGCAGTGAGTTTGATTTTTTTTTGGTTTCAAATTCTGCAATCCACCTGGAATTTATTTTTGTGTTTACTGTGAGTTTTGGGTCTGTCTTAGATTGGGACCTGTAGAGAGGCAGAACAGTGAAGTGTATATATAAATACATGCAGAGAGATTTGTTTCAAAGAAATGGCTCATGCAGTTGTGGAGGCTGACAAGTCCCAGATCCATGGATCAGGCAGCAGACTGGAGGCGTCTCTTGATGCACA